CCCCAAAACCCCAAAACCCCAAAACCCCAAAACCCCTGCCTATTGCCCTTCAATTGAAAGTAATTTGAAATATTGATGAATTTCTTCAATTTATAGCTTTTAAGTCTCCTCGTAATAATCGAATTCACTTGACATATAGTTGTCCACAATATAGATCATGATAAACATTCCGGCAGTCAGCAGCAGATTTAAGATATGGAAGACTCTTAGCACAATAAATGCACTGTACCAAAAGTAGATGAAGTATGAGTAGCAGCAAAGTACCAGAACGACGAACATGAACAACCCATTGATCAGAATAAGAGGCACAACGAGGTACTTTAGTTTTTCATTAAACTGCTGCAACAGCAGAAGTAATAGAAATGGAAGCATTATTGTCAACCCTAGAACTTGGGAGCCATGGTTGATGTTGTCCACATCTCTACAATTGAGCTTGTCGAAACAATACAGTCACTTCTGTGAATAATCGTACATATTGTATCTTGTAAAGAAGGAAGCCATAATCACAAATATTGCAAATGCTCACAGCTTGAATCTTTGTTTGTAACTCCAAGGACTGACATTGTTGGAACGGATAGTTAGAGGCACTCTATATATTTTAAGAGGTTTCCAAGTTCTTCTAATAATATACGCCATACATAAGAGCATGATAATGATAAAAATAAGATCATATATCAACTTAAATGGGCTATCTGTTGAATCTTGTATCGTCTTCATCTTCGATTCAATATCCACAAATGTCTTGTTATTATTGTCACACAAGGAGTGAAGATTAGTGTAAGCAGTCTGAAGTCTAACAGTTTGAACTCCATTCAATGAGAAGGTATCTCCAGAAGTATTATCGTATAAAAAGTATCTGATAACTGTAACGTTCGATACATAATTTGTTACATTAGGATTTTGAATAGAGACAGAAGCAAGATTTAACTCGTACTTTATGCTCCATTGCTGGTATATCCTATAAATGAGAGTACCACACATCGCCAAAATAAGAATGATCATTCAGATAGAAGTAAAGAAATGTAGAAACTTCTTGGTACTTCTTCTGCTGCTGGCTAGAACCTGATCTCTAATAAACTCAATTTCATCAGGAGTGTAGATCTTCTTACTGACTCTATAAAGAATTTTTCTACGCTCTACTTCCTTAAGGTCTCCGAAGTCAGACTCAAATTTCAGAGTTGGTGGCTTCTTATAACTTTTATTTATAAAAGAATCGTTGTTTCTCACTCTCCCAGCCTCACTCTTTCCTGCATAATAACTGAGTTGAGATTTCTTCTCTTCTCTATAAGACTGGAGTGCTCCGTCAAGCTGCTTTTTCGGGAGACTTCGATCGAATTTCATTTTTAATAATCAATAATAAAATTATATTGAGGGGTTTTGGGGTTTTGGGGTTTTGGGGTTTTGGGG